AAATTTAAAACCATACAACCAACCATCAATTAAGCACAAGCACATAAAAGATGACCGTAATAGTGGATTAGCTACTTCCTGCAAAACCAAGTTATGCATATAATCCAATATATATGGCTGCGCTTGAGCACACATAGACAATTAAGCAGTTTAATCCGGATCTTGTACATAACGGATTAACCTGGCTCTGATACCAATTTTTGGAACCCACGAGGATCTCGATATGCACAAATCACGGACAAACATTCAACATAAACCTATGTGCAGCGGATCTAAAGGTTTGATGAAGAAAACTTACTACTTAAATTTATGTAGATCTGGCTGGCCCGGATAGTTGACCGCAAATCAAATATTCTCGAAATCGAACAAACTTGACCAATCCAGAAAGCTGACGTCACGACGAAGTCAACGGCGTTGACCGGTCGGAAAAAGGTTGATTCACGCGCTCTGACGCGCGCGCGTTGTCCTCGGCAGCTGGAACCTTCCGGCGGCGCGTGGCGGCGCGTGCGGTGGCGGACGGCAGCGATCTCGACGGCGATCTCTTCGTCTCGTCGTCCTGGTCATCGTGGTATGGTCACTTGCTGGTTTTGGTCTCTGGTTTGGATGTATGATTGGAATCTCTATATACCTTAAGATCTTCTACTGTATTTTCAAACAGCTTTCTAGATCTTGTATCAGTGGAACACAAGAAATAGAAGAACTCCTTGGAAGAGAGAGAAAGAGAGGGCTGGACGTTTCCCAAGGATTATGGGATTGTTCTGTTCTCTTCCATGAGCCTAATGCTGTATATATAGAGCTACAGTAGGGACCCTATGGAGAATAGGATAAGGGCTTCTAATATATTAATACTGTGGAGCAACCCCATAATTAATATATTAACAATATTAAAGTCCACCAATAATATTATTGCACTCCCCTCACCTATCCCAAATTACATTTGAGACTCCTTATTATAATTATCCGATTTACCTCCCCATGTTTAAGATATAATGTCCATTAATTAATTCGATTACTAATAATCAAGAATTAATTAATATATTATGTAACACCCCTCCTTATCGTAAAATCAGAGTAGCGCAAATTTCGACAAGTTATTTGATATAAAACCTTTTTACTTTGCGAAA